CTGATGGAGATATAGTTCTAACTCGTTTCACATCCCCCCTATTCTTCAGACTTGGCTCCGTCGGACTACTATGATTCCCTAATATGAAAAAATGGCTGGCGGGGAAAAGATTTTAATCAAACGAGGAGGTGATTGCAGAAACGAATGCCTATTTTACAGACTTGGACAAATCCTATTACTTGGAAGGGATTAACCAACTAGAGCAGCGTTGGATGAGGTGTATAAGCCTAAAAGGAGACTATTGAAAAATAAAAAAGATTTATTAAAAAAATCAAGCATTTTTTATTTTTGCTCGGACTTTTCAAACGACTCTCGTACGGGCGAAAAGTCGTTTTCTCGCTACAGGTAAGTGCTCCCCGATTTTGTTTTTTTAATTTTCGTAAAGTGCTTTCTCTCTTTGCTTCATACTTTGATCGTACAGCAATTCCTTCTTCATACTTTGATCGTTAACTTTTATTTCTTTCAGTTGATTTTGCACTGACAGGCAGATTTTCAAGAACCTACCATCTCCATCGATACCATATTTCAAATGAACTTTTGCTGCCTGTCTCTATTCCTTGACGCGGTTGATAAAATCAAATACATTGGTACAATAGATAACCATATCTGGAAAATTAATAGCTTCTGTCCATTGTATCTTTATAAACGATAGTTCCTTACGTTCATAAAAATTATCTAAATCGTGAGCTCGAATATAAATTTCTTTTGCTAATCCTGACTCAATTATTTATCGATCTTTCGTTGACGCACAAAGAGAAGAAGCTATTTCAAGAAGAGCTCGGTCACTTAAATCACAATCAGTTTTGATAGCTACTATATCGTCACAGGTCAAACTTTGGAGTTTTTACAAGATCATTATTATTGTTACTATTGTTACCTACTGTTACTGGAGAGTTCGACCTCGAGTTTATGTAAATTTTAGTTTGAAGTTTATATTGTTAGAGTTTGAGTTCGTCGAGCTTTCAGCCTCCGAATTGTCATTTAGTTCAAGTTTAAATAGTAATGAAATGACTTGATCCTGAGCTTTGGAATGCTCACTGCGTGATGCCGCATATAGTATATTTTGAACTCGTATTGTTGAATTACGATTTTGTGCATTTCCTTTGGCAACAATATTGAAGCAGTAACTGCACTTTTTTATACTTTTATTTTGCTTTGATTGATCTATAGCAAAGGTTGATGACAAATATATATATACATATATTTTTATAAATTGTGATGATGCGTTATCACGTAAAAAGTTCCACCTACAGGGCTCGCGCGAAATTTTCTTCTGACAAGAGGATGCGGACGCCCGATCAGCTGATGCCGTTTAGCTTACATAAAAGCATATGAATAGCCCCGAGACCTCGCGAAAAACACCTTTCCGGACCCGCCCAAATCGATGCGCACGACCCTTACCCCCTCGCACACACACTATCACACACAGGAAACCCGGACCGACATTACCCCAGAAAGCCAGGCGACGAAAAAGGTCGCAGCCGAGATCAGCTAATATACACACTAACACCACTGGTCGTCCAATTAGCACACCCGAAGGACCATCCGAAATACACACGCACATGCACGATTGACCTCACGCGCCCCGGGGAGCAACAGGAACAGCGGCAATTGGACGTGATGCTAACGCGTGAGCTGAGCGGCGGCCATGTTGCAACGCACTCGTTAGTAAGCTTGAGCTAGACCGAGAGTCGGCGTAGAGTGTCAGTGAGACGATTGATAGGAAAGAGACCGAGCGCGAGAGAGGGGCGACCGAGCGTATGAGTGCGAGTAAGATGACCGATAGAAGAGCGATCGGGCGCGAGCGGGACAATAACGTAAAGCCTGCGTGTAAGCAAGATAAACGATACCGATACTCACGTAGGGGCGACCGGTAGGGCTAATGAGCGTGTGTGCGTAAAGGATAGGTGATAACGACGCGAAACTGACCAACGCGCGCGACTAGATCGACGAATGACAAATAGGATAGGAGTAGATTGACAAATAGGGTTAAACCGACGCTATCCAACCGAGAAATAAGGAAATTAGGCGCAAAAACCCGACCAGTAATAAAATTACGCGGGCTAAAAGACTAATAGAGACGGTGCTGATAATCGACAATTTGGACCAATGAGATAAAAACCCGCGACAGTGAGGAGAGGTAATCGAGGAGAAGTGATGCGATGCCGTGAACTGCCGCGGCAGTAGCAGCGGAGTAGTTTAACGGTGCAGACGGCCGAATACGAGAGAGGACAAAGGGCAGCAGTGAGTGTAGTATCCGTAGCAGTGAAAATAGTATCCGCAGCAATAAAAGTAGTATCCGCCGCAGTGAAGGTAGTATCCGTAGCAAAGAGGACAATATCCGAGCAGTAGAAAAAATGAGTACCCTCCTTCTTTTCTCTTCATTTCGTGCCCATCCGTAACTGAGATCGCTGTCGACAGACCATAGTGCCGCCTGCCCTTCGCGAGATCACCGATTTACACGCGCAATAACGGGAATGCCGCCTGATCTCCGCGAGATCGCCGATTTACCCGCGCATTAACGGGAGTGCCGCCAGACCTTTCCGTGGCCACCGTATATTTTAATCTTTTTTCAATTCCCTTCGCTTCGCCATTGATTTCCGACATAAGCTGCGCTCGCCGCGAAGGTAGATCGCGATCGCGTCGTGGTGCCCCACTCGCGAAATTCGAAGTAGAATGTGGACATTAGGTAGACGCCGTAGGTAGACACCGTCGCCAACCGGAGAATCGACCTTGGGTTGACCGGGAGAGACCGTAATTATTTAATAAATAATAATTTCCGTAAATTGGTGTTATCTTTGACTTAACCTTGCCAAAGCTCCGCATTCTCCCGTAGCTAACGCGATCGAGTTACGTGAAACCGGTTAGCGCGATGCTGCGCGCCATTTTGTGTGAGTGAGAGATCGAGCCCTTTACCACTCTTCACCGTTCTTGGATTGCTGATATGGCGCCTTGAGATGCCGCTCTGAAGACCCGCTTCTGAAAAGAGTCCCTGCCCCGACATTTTTGACTAGCCACCGCCCGCACTTCTCTTCGCACGTAAATTAGGTCTTCGCGCCCCTTTTATACGTTTATAGGCGGCCAACAAGGCTAGTGCAAGAAGAAGAGAATCAGCGACCCGACATTCAGCGATCAGAACCAGCTGACCTGCAGCGCTACCCGCCCTCCTAACGCGAGAACGGTAGCTGGCACCCAAAATAAAATCAAGCTGCAACGATTGGCTGACAGTGCCACTGGTGGCAGTTGAGGCCGGAAGAAAAAACCAAACAATCTTTCCGTCTCCCTCTCCCCGTCACAAAATTAATTAAAAAGTAAGATATGACATCGAAAATGAACTTATTTTCTTTGATACTTACTAAAAGTTTTATTTTTCCAACTTCCACCGTCGGTTTCAACATTTCTGCGCGCTATTTGACAAACTTTACATTCACATCTGTTTTGCGATCGTGTCTTTTTAGAAAAATGAAAATATAGATAAATTTGGAGATTTGAGCTCACTTTTATTGCTTGTGACATCATATACGCGTCTTTTGTAAGAACTACACAAAGAAACAGGTAAATGATCTTCATCGACGTAATTAGTCATCATACTTGTCAAATGATTTTTTAATTTTCCTTCTATAACAATCATCATCTTTTGTTTTTGAAAATATAGAAAACATACTTTGTATCGATTCACTGTGAGTAAGAGCATTATGCGGCATGCCGATGATAAGCCTGATATCCTTTGACCTGCAAGCTCACATGAAGCGGCACCCGTGTTAATAAACAACGCGCTCCGTTGAAGTACCGATAAAAATATAGAATATGTCTCGGTAAAATGCCTATTCACAAACACGAATATAACTAAAATTACATTCTATTAACAAAAACTGACGAATACAAAACTAAAATTAAAAAAAAACAGCTTTTATCAAAAAGCCCTGTATATAGGATTGTCGGTTTTCGTTTTAAATGATCTAAAAGCAATATATTTTACGAATCTATCTAAACGCAAATTCGAGGTGTAAGACACTTTCATTTCATTTTATTCAAGGGCACCGTGCGTAGTGACTGACTTCGACCTTCCTCCAGGTGCATAAACATCCATTCAAAATAGATTGAAAAGTGCAGAAGCAATTTTCAGTCACAAACATCGAGATGGCGTGAATTTAAATTTTTATTTTTTATTTAGCTCATCAAAGCAAGTACAAGTTTTTATAGCATTATAATGAGTTATATGTACATGAAACTATAGATATAAGAGTAATAGGGTATAGTGTGATATAAAAGTGTCAGTTTAATGAGAGGATTTGTTTTTATGACAGAGTTTTACAACAATTTCCAAAATATTTATACCTCTTTTTAAATTTATAATGATAAAGTAAGAGAAATTCTCACCTTAATAAAAATTTATTCACATTGAACTTATCTCACATTGAAAGTAATATCGCACGACAGATTCCAATAACATATCGTGGATTAATGTAAGATGCCAGCGTATGTTAATAACGATTAATGAAAAATGATTGTGCCTAATTTAATATTTTTAATAATATTCTTTAATGAGACTTTCGGGTTGTCGTGTATTTACCATAGAACTTCTTGAGCACTCGACAATTTCTCTTAACTTGTATGATTTTACTCTAGTATTCTAGTCTGCAAATTCGCTCGATGGTTGGTACGTAAGTCCACGAACTGTATCAGTATTAACAACTCAATTGCAAAAAAATACTACAAATCTAAATAGTCGAATGACCATTAGCTGGTAAAAATACGATATTGAAAAACCGCATAGAGACTTTTCAAGTCATTTTTGTTTATTCCAATTATTGTGATCACATATCCTAGAATTCGCTACGTAACGTTTAAAAATAAGTCACGTACTGTATACTAACCGTTACATTATGAGACTAATCTTTCCACTAATATCAGATTTTAAAAACTATGGTTTTTGTGGAACTGACATCTCTTTCCCACTTATCATGCAGATTATGTATAGTAACACATTTTATTCTTACCGACTGCTGGTGACATAGAGCGGGAGCCTGTAGAACCTGTAGGAGATGGAGTTGGCCTCATCCCTTGTGAAGTAGGAGTAGCAGGACCAGCTGGTCCATTTGAACTATCATTACTATTTTGACCAGACAGTTCCTAAATGGAAATGTTAATATCATAGCTATAAGTATTTTTCTTAATAATAATAACTATGTACTACACAAAAAATATATAACTTTGTAACGGAGAATATGCGACCGTTCCCGTCTGAGTAGATCGCGACCGTCCGTACAAATTATTTATTTGGAGATTCGGGAAGTAAAAGACGTTCCCACGACTTAATAACGCGTCAAACACAACCACGTTAAACACACAGATTTAAAGTCGGGATGAGGAGTGATACAACGGCGAATAAACGCAACAGCAGATTAACACACTAATCCTTTAATCGTCAACAATCGACTACAAGACGGCGATCTTCGCCTATATACTAATAATAAACCCGAACGCGAAGGTGAATCGGTGACTGGTCAGCCTGCCGATTCCTTTTTTTAAAACAAATTATTACAATAATGCCCGACAAACACTTTCCGCCGTTAATCCATCAACGGGGTAGCCAGCAGATCTGCCGCGTTACCGTCCATCAGCTGGCACCTAAACATGCAAGAGAGAGAAATAAGAGAAAACACGGCATCGACCTCGACTTTCAGCCTCTACGACGGTTAGAACGCTTTGCAGTATGACGTCACTGGTGCGCTCCTTCTTGCTGACCGCCTCGCTTATGTTTACTGTCGTCGCTGTTTTTTCTCTTGCTCGTCTTCTCGTTCGCTCTATCAATCTTGCTGCCTTACTCTGTTGTCCCGCTCATTGCTGTTGTCGTTGTTTCTACTGCCTCTCGGTTGCTCCATACTTCAGCAATATCGAAGACTGCTCACGCGCGCACCCGCGCAACTCGCCAGTTACCATTAGCTTAATTAATATTAAAATGATTAATTTAAATTATTTTAATATTAATTTAAATTATTTTAATTAATTTTAATATTAATATTAATTTAAATTATTTTAAATTAATGAGTAATTTAAAATAATTTAAAGTTACCCACACGCCCCGGTGCCGGATATCCTTCGGGACACGGCTAGGCCCGGACCAGCCACACACTCCAATATTCGTCCGCGCACCGGGCGTGTCTCCGAAAACAAATGCGTTGACGAGATCGCGGGGCCAACTTCGAAAAACCGTTAGCTTTGGTCTTTTCCGCGCCCAAAGCCTAGTAGAGACTCTCTCGAATTTTCCGCGATGATCGCAGTTTGAGCGCTCTTTCTCTCTCTATCTCTTCTTCTGCGCCATCTCGATCGCTCCAGCCGTCAGCTCAGTTCGCATACAGCTCCTCGTAAACAAAAACCAAGCATGAGTGTGCGTGCTACACGCACACACTCTCAGCTTGGCACGGCGCACGAACATTTGCGCGAGTCAATCGGACGAAATCGGCCTAGCCGAGATTCTCCGTTACAACTTTGAAAAAAAAATCCCTTGAATAGTACATACAAGAGACAGTAAATATTCATATGAAAGCTATAGATATCTCGTAAATATTATTTCAAATGCTATTGAAGGTAAATGAAATTCAAGAAGAAAATCTTTGTATACGAGGTGTGTTCAAAAAGTAAGGTGACTTTTCAAATTTCACGGGCAACGTACTTTCGATTATCGATTTTTTTGTTTTGTTATGTTGGTACACTCTTCCCGAACATATGTACCAAGTTTCAAGTGGATAGCATTTTTTGTTTGGTTGTGAGAGGCGTAAAGGTTATAAGTGTTTTGCGTGCTCGGCGATTTCTTGCTATCGAAAAATATGGATCAAAGGATTTGCATCAAATTTTGTGTAAAAAATAAAATAAAGAGCTCCGAAACACTTGAAATGTTGACGGTGGCATACGGTGAAACTGTTCTGAGTAAAAAAAATGTTTACAAGTGGTACAAACTCTTCCAAGATGGCCGGGAAGATGCCAATGACGAGCCTCGCTCTGGACGCCCAAGCACGTCAACAACTGATGAAAACGTTCAAGCAGTGCAGAAAATTATTCTGGAAAATCGTCGAATCACTATCAGAGAAGTTGATGAGGATGTTGGTATATCGCTTGGCTCGTGCCATGAAATTTTTTCTAACGGTTTGGGCATGAGACGTGTGTCAGCGAAGTTTGTTCCGAAATTGCTAAATTTTGACCAAAAGAACCGTCGCATGAGCATCGCTCAAGAACTGTTGAATGACGTCAACGACGACCCAGATTTACTCAAAAGGGTCAAAAAATAAACAGTATTATCTTGAAGTTATGCGCCGTTTGCGAGAAGTAATACGAAGAAAACGCCTAGAATTGTGGAAAAACAATTCATGGCTTTGCATCACGATAATGCCCCTGCTCACTTATCTTTGCTTGTGAGAGATTTTTTGGCCAAAAACAACACCACAATCATGCCTCAGCCACCATATTCACCGGATTTGGCCCCATGTGACTTTTTCTTGTTCCCAAAACTAAAGAGACCTATGAAAGGACGGAGATTTGCAACGATTGAAGAGATAAAGACTGCATCGCTGGAAGAGCTCAAGGCTATACCGAAAAGTGCTTATGAGAAGTGCTTTGAGGATTGAAAAAACCGTTGGCATAAGTGTATTCTATCTGAGGGGGATTACTTTGAAGGGGACAACATAAATATTGATAAATAAATAAATATTTTTTCTTAAAAATACAAAGTCACCTTACTTTTTGAACACACCTCGTATATCTTGCTATCTTATAAAATAAATTCCACGCCGTCATCGACGTGCAGTATTGAAAATTTCTATTTCTAGACATCTTTAAAGTTTTTATTAAGACTTATAAACTCTTATAAGCATGATTGAGGGCATCAATAAAGCCATGCTCTTAATAAGACCACACTCATAACAAGGTAATGTTTAATGTTAAAGGTAAAGTAAGGGTGGACATGCTCTTAGTTAATATCATCAGGCCATTTAATATCAACGATCTTATATGTACATATATGTATGTTAAGCTAATTTATATTATATTATCTATGATAGTTATGATTATACAGTATGATAGTCTGTCAAAAGTATTAGTGAGCTTGATATTAGTCGTAAAAATAATGTTATTTTGAAAACTACAGATCACCAAACAAATATTTTCCTATTATTATTGCATGTATTTGTTTCCTATAGAACTATTATATAAACATGTTTTTCAGGAGATGCAATTGAGGTATACGTATACGAGTATGTATTTATGATGTAGTCATATAAATATAAGATCGTGAGAATATCGAAATTTTCAGTGTATCTCTAATGGAAAGGCTTCAATTAATTTTAGGCGGTAGAGGTTTGAAAAGTAATCAACAGTTAATTTTTATCATAAAATTTGCTGTATTATAAAATTTGATTTATTAAATATCTTTATTGAATTCTTTTTTATTCTTCTCTCTATTCTTTTTTTTTCTTCTATTTAGCTTTTGAGAATGTTAAAATCGTGCTATCAAATGTATTTGAGTTATGGATAGGTTTTGTGTTTTTATAATTTAAAACAGGTAAAATCTTTTTTTTTGAAATAATGAATAAATTTTTATTCCAACTTTGCAAACTAACTTTTTTTTTAATATCCTAAAAAATCTTAAATAACGCTTGAGTTTGTTACTATTTTCATTTATTATAATGTGATTGAGAGATTGACGAACAAAGCGAGCATGGTGGCTAAGCCCTCCAGTATATATATATAAAATTATATTATATATAATATTATATATATATATATAATACAATATTATATATATATATAGAAAAAATGAGAAATTTATTTAAGCACAAACTCCCACGATGCAGAGCTAACTGCCGCTCCGTTAAGCACGTATAGTTATACGGGTATTCGCCTTTATGTCAGATGATTTCGTTTCAGTGTTTTCTTTCCAACTGGGTTGAACTCACCTTAAGTCACTTGACCAACGCTCCTCCAATTGCTCAGCTACGCTGCCTCACTCTCCAATCTGCTGCAATTTGCTGCTTCTGCACTGCTGCTACTTGTTGTCGCGATAATGCCGTTGCACTCACGCACGTAAAAATCGTCCCAGAAACTTTGTAAACGACGAAACACGGTGCAAAATAATTTAGCGGTATTATCAGCGCGAAATCAGCTGAGGCGTAACTGCCTATTTCAAACGCTCGCGCGCCCTCTCTCTCTCTCTCTCTCTCTCTTAATCGTTCGAACTAACACGCGAGTAGGAGAATCGCGAACGGATCGATTAATTGAATCGACTACCGTTGCAGCCCCCTCCAAGTCCTGACTACCCCGGCAGGACCAATACCCGCGATTCGCCGCCATCAGAAACCTGAAAAGAATAGAAGGAAAGGAACCAAATAAACTCAAACTTCCCTTCTTTATCATGGCTACTTTATTAACCCTCCAGGGTCTACATCATCTTTTAGCTACACCTGGCGCTCGATGTTTCGGGTAGCGCCAGTGTGTAGCTTTCTCCGGGCACCGCTGGGAGTTGGTCATCCCGGGCTCCCCGCATATGTAGCAGCCCCTCAGCTGCGATCGGGACTGAGCAGCCTCCCGATCTTGTATGGCCTGTTCAGCAGACCGAGGGGACTGCTAGGCGCTTACTCCCTGGGAGGCGGTGATGGTGACGCCCCTCACCGTGACGGTTGCACGTCCATCCTGCGACCTGACCACGATTGTGGTGTCAGGAGCCATACGCCTGTCCACATGGACCGTGAGCATCGGCTCAGCGCCAGTAGCTCCCGGGGCTATTTTCTCCTGAGCCGGCGCCGGGAGCGCTGCGGCGGACTCCTGTCGATTGTCTACCCGCAGCAGGGCCTCTCCGTACTTCGCCTAGGCCCTCTAGCGCTGAATCACCTCTGCCCACTCCCCGGGCAGTTCTTCTGCACCCTAGCAGTTCATGAAGCGTCTCAGGTGCCCCTGCACCTGAGACTGGAGATCCTTGCCGAACCGCCAGGCACTCTCCACCTCGTTGATCCCCACACCTACGTGTCTTCAGTCGAGGAGGAGAGTGGGCTGCTCCGGGATACGGGGGTGGTTGCAGACCCAGTGCGATGCCCCACAGGTTTCCCTGGATCCTGGGCACTGGCTCGCACTGTCCGACGTCT